AAAAAACAACCAACATAATGCAAAACACAACATTTAATTTAACATAGAGAAAAACTGTACACATCCTTCAAAACATATTGCATGAATAAATAAAGCACCTGGAGTGCAGTTTTTGTAAACAAGACACACTTTTCCATTCCCGCCGCAAGAATCCAGCTCGAAGATGCGACTCCGGGCATCAAAGTGAGGCGCAGCGGGCACACGCTCCGGTCCTGACAGAAAACACTAATGAATCCGGAACAAATATTTACTTTCCAAGCAACTGCTCATTCATTAGCCTCCTTTCTGCACAAGTAAGCACACACACGCAGGCATAATTGAAAGTGACACGTTGTAATTGTAGAGTTAAACCCACACCAGGATGCGACAGGTTTACCACTTTCTCTGCTGCTCTCCTCCCAGTCCAGGTCAGCCAGGGAGGGGGCGTTTGGGAGAGAGAAAAGCGACACAGGCTGAAGCAGAGGGCACAGCCTGCCCACGCTATTGATCGTCATGCAGCCTAAGGGCACACACTCATCTGGAAGGCAAACACAGAACCACACAGTAAAGGCTGAGCTGAATACATTGGGATTTCTGTGGGAATTGTGCACAACATGAGATGGCACCTACTGTCTAACTCAACACTCCAGGTTAATGTAAATCCATCAGTTGTGAGGTAAAAGTCTCGCAGGTCTTCTGGTAAAATACATGTGTTTTTCTGGGGGACAAATCAAACAAACAAACTCATGAATATGACTAGTGTAAACATTTAAAAAACGACTATTTAAGGCTTGTTTTCACCTGTTCCCATGATAGCAGGTTCCTTTTCTCTGCTGGCTCCCTCTCTGCAAAACGAACATCCGCCACTCCTGGCAAGTTCTCTGCACCAAGGATATGTTATTTTCTTTCATTGTAATGAATACAGTTTGTAAGCTAACAGAGGATAGCTGATGTTAATGCAAATTATCAATACGAACCTAGTATTTGAGTAATACCGAGTGTTAGCCTCTCAGCAAAACCTTTGAACAATATGTTCTCCTTTGCTTCCTCCATTTGGGTTTTGGCGACCAAATATTTGAGTAAAATAAGGTAAGTTTCCTCTTTTAACATCTACATAGCATCCTTCACTTTTGCTCCAGGTCAGCTGATAATCGCACAGGAAGCGACGACGGAAGCTAGGATGCCAAAGTGACGTATTTATCAGCCAATAGAAAAGCGTGTTTTTACAGCCTCTAGCCTATCAGAGAGGGAGTTGTAAAAAATAAAGGCGGGGCTAATGTCCCTTAGCAACGCTTGGCTCACAGGGAGTGGTGGCGGTTGTTTCAACATGGCGACAGCCTCGAAACGAAGAGACGACTCGGGGATATTTTGGATGAATGGAGGTATACTTTCTTTTATTTGTTTATTTTAAATAAATAAGCTCGATTTAGCACTTCAGAATTTAATAGAAAGCTCAAAGGTTTTCCACAATATTGAGAAATTGTTTCGTTTTTTAGACAGGAGGAAAATAAGTTTTCTCTGAAGAAGTACATGTCAGCTGACAAGTAAAAAAAAGAAAACTAAATGTTCTTTATGTTAAGATTTGATAGCTGCTTTCATCATTTAAGTCTGCTGTGTTTCCTCTTAATTCAGACTCAACAATGCTAAAACTGGCTAAAGCTAGTTTGGTACCTAAACCCTCAGGCTTTAGTCCTAAAACAGGATAAAAGTGTAGTCATTCTCAATATGTAAGAAATATGTCTGGAAACTGAATTAGATAAAATAAAATCAACTTGCTCTTCTAGTTTAAAGCATGAGGATTAATGCATTTTTAGTTCATCTGAGGCAACAATCACTACTCCCTAAAAATGCTTGTTTAAGTTGTATTTTTCTCTCCTATCCCTGCCTTTAAATTGCACATATAACCGGTAGCTAAAGGAGGCCAAGTCTGTTGGCTAATATTTGGTCAGTTTTGCTGATTTGCCAAGCTTCAGTTTAGTTTCACACATTTCTTTTAGTGTTCTTCAAAGCTAAAGTGACTGTCTTCTCTATGCAGCGTTTGATGAGGATCAGGCCTTGGCATTTGTTCCTGGTGAGTCTCGTGACATTTAGACAAGTTCTGGTCACATTATGTGGGATATTTAAATGTATCTTACGCATAACGTTTTTTTCTCCTGTTATGTTTTTCTACTAATTGGCTCAGGGCTTGACAGAGGACTGAAGACTCCAGTGCCTTTCAGTCTCAGGCCAGACGGCACCGGTACATCTGGTAAAAGAGGATCCAAGCTCAGAGTGAAGCATGGCTTCGACTGTAAAAATCAAGGCACACAAAAGACAGCAGAAAGAAACCACTTAGAAAGTAATTTCTCCGGAACATTTACAAAAGAAAAAGGGCCAGTTCAACATGTTGCTGTACCCAGCGTGCACACCATCTCTCAGTCACATGATGCTTTGTCACAGGTAAACCATTGGGCTGTTATCCTCTTTGTATCATAGATTAAATGTTTCATTACAAGACAGAAGCGATTCACTGTATTTCACTACAGCCTACTAGTGATTTTATTTGCTTGTGAACAATTATTCACACAGGTGAACTTTGAGAACAGCAGAGAGAAGAGTGAAGTGTCTTTGAAGGACCTCTGTCTTGAAGATAAGAAACGAATTGCAAACCTGATTGAGGAACTTGCAAGGTAACCAACATCGTATGATAGTAGTTTTAGTTTTAATAGTAAAAACAAAAATTTCAATACAAAAAAACCCAACCCACAAATCTCATAAAATGAAAGGAAACAGAAGAAGAAAAAAAATCTTATATCTGCCCCATTTAACAAAAAATAATAATAGAAATAAAAATATATGCATATTTATATGTGTACACATA